GCCATATGTTGGCCTCTATTACGCCTGTTATTCTGATCTTCCTCTCTGAACAAAGACTCTAAACGTCCAGCCTTAGATGCAAGACTTGCCAAATCCTCAACATCCAGTGCAGTGAGTGCCTTTCTTAAGCGAGTATGCATATTTCGGACCACTAAATTGGTCATCTCTTTCTCACTGATTACCGTAGGACATCGCCCTTTCATCAATCGCACCCTTTCTATAAACTGTGAAGCAGATTCTTCTGGATACTGTCTCAATTCTAGTAAATCAGTTAAAGAAACAATTGGTAAAGGATTGAAGAATCTGGCATGAAATGCCATCTCCAGTCCTTCCCACGTCTGAATTTGTCCAGGAGGCAGACTTGCAAACCACGAAAACGCTGTTCTAGTAAGAGATAAACCAAACAGTTGCAACTTATAAAAAGGGTTATTACCAACTTCTCCCAATTGTACTGTGAATCGACCAACATGTTCTATGGTGGAAGATCCGTCCTCCCCTGAGAATGCATGAAAATCGGGTGGTCGATAATTCCTTGGGAGGGGGTGTTCATTAATGATCCTTTCTGGGAAAGGTCTCTGATATGCAGGGCGGTTAGCCATCTGAGGAGTTAGCCCAAACTGATCCCTTAATATATGTGCAATCTCATCAGGATCTACATGAAAGCGTTGATGATCAGGAACATGGAAAGGATCCTGCACAGGAATATGAATAGGATCATGTATATGTCCTCCAGGCCTGTCCTCCCTTGTATTGTTCGGCTGCGGACTGGAAACCCTTGGTCCCAGCGGAACAGTGTTGGGAAAAGTCAGAGGAGATTTTCCCCTATCCGTTCGGTTGGGATTTGTGGCACTTGGAAATGCACTATCCACGAATGATGGCCCTGCGAAATTTGCCTGTAGTCTGGATGGTGATACTCCTGGTGGAGTTTGAGTGGGTTGAAGACTAACCCTTGACAGTGCTTGATCTAACATGTTCTGCATCAGATTCTGTTGCTCACGCAACATGTTTTGCATAACCAAAGTTTGCTGGTCGTTCATTTGTTGAACATAAGACCTCCAATCAGTTGGTGGTTGTGGGATTTCCCCAGCATTTGGCACAATAGGTGGTGGAACGGATTCTCCCACCGGTGCCGAAGATGATTGAGGTTGTGAACCTGCCATATGGACCCTTCCGATGATACGGCCGGATCTAAGACGTATGAAATTATCGCCGGAATTGGAATGAGCAATTTTGTCTTGCTCCCACTGTGGTCGCCAATTTGTTGATGTAATTTTTCAACAAAAATAAAGTAAAATTCAAAGATATAGAAAATATCCTTAAACTTGATTAATTAGTTCCTGAGATTAGGAATCTCTAAACACTGTATGGTACAGAAAATAAACTGGAAAATAAAAGACTGAAATTTAAAGTGGTGATCCCCAAATCTGACTTTGCTTTGTTGAAGTTGATTGAAGATGCCTTCTCCAGAAAAATCCAAACCCTTAAATATTCCCTGGGAAACTGTACTGAAAACCGTCGCCCGAACGGTTACAACGTCTCCTTTCCAACCGTCTTCCAACCCTTCTCCTGCTGACACGTGTCCTCAGCGGACCAAAATTTGTCACTATATTTCACTCTTTGAGCCGACCACAGACCTTCCGCCCTTTTGGCCCGACTGCCAATCCTCCCGACTTGCAAACCATCTGACTTGTTGGTCCAGCCGCAGAGTCCCGACCTGAGGACCTCCCGACCTGTCCGACCTGAGGACTTTCCGTCCTGAGGACTTTTCGACCTGCGGACTTTCCGACTTGAGGACCTCCCGACCTACGGACTTTCCGTCCTTATGACTTTCCGTCTTGAGGACCTCCCGACCTGAGGACCTCCCGACCTGAGGTCTTTCCGTCCTGAGGACCTCCCGACCTGTATTTTTCTTAGAAATAAACCTATTTTCCTTGAGTTCCCCACGGTGTCCTTCAACCAGTTCAATCAACTCTATTGCCAGGCCCATTTTTTCTTTTACCTTGGGCTTTTTAACCTAATTCTAAATTTCATACGTAACAATTAGTGTAAAAAGTAATGACAATTGTGTAATAATAATGAAAAAGTAGAGATAATTTTATGGTGATATGGTTTTTTATGGAAATGAGACTATTGTTTTAAGACGGACAAAAATGGTAAACAAGACTATTATATTGGAACGAAGGGAGTATATAAGTAAACAAACCCTCAATGCTAAAAAAGAAAAAATGTTTTTGAAATAATACTGTAAATAAAATATAAATTTATGATATGATTTTTCCAATGAAAAATAATTTTACTACAAATTGCATAGTACATAAATAATAAGAATGAAGAAACAAACAAACACACTTGTGTTTTAAGATGTTTTGGATATATTTTGTTGTTTTAAAAATAATACGAATTTGAATGAAGAAGAAATATTTTATACTGTCTCCATTCCACCTACCATGTATATATTGTCGTTTATCTGTCCGTCTCATATCTCATATCTCATGTCACTTTTCTTTTTTAGAAAATGATTATACACTTTAATTTCATTTTAAATTTTTTAATTTAATTTTTTTTAATTTTAATTAAATTAATTAGTTATCTTAATCTTAATCTACAATTATTTATATTATAGGATAATTATTTTCACTAATACATTTTTAATTATCTACTAGTTATATTTATCATAAATTCCCGTATCTACAGTGACCCAGATATCCAACGTGGGACCGAGGGAGTACTATAATATTTTTAATGAAAAATTTGTCTACGATATTTTGAATATTAATAAGTTTCATGTGATATTTTAAATTAAACATAAATATTATTGGGTTTGATGAAAATACAAACAAGCAGACCTTATTTTTTAGAGCCTTAACAACATGTTTTGCGGTAAACTTAATCCTAATGAATTAACTGATTGAAAAGTAGGGTTTGTACACTTGCAATTTTATTATTATTATAATAATAATTATTATTATTATTACATGTATATATATATATATATTACATTTTTGAAGTAAAACATTTAAATAATACTACCTCCGTCCGACTTTAAGAGTCTCATTTACTTTTTGCATGTTGATCTTTGAATATTAATTATTATATTAAAATATAGTATAAATTAAGAAAAAAAATACAAAAATATTTTAATTTGTGTCTTATAATAATAATAGAAGGACATTTGTACAAACAATTATACAAATATAAGGATATTTTTAATGTTAAGTACAATTATATAAAAGGTAAATGTGACCCTTAGAGATGAACGAGGAAGTATTATATTATTTTTAATAAAAATAATACTTCCTCCATTCTACTAAAATTGTCCATATTAGTGCTATGGTAAATACGAGTATAATTAGTAATTAATTAAAAAATATATTAATAAAAATAATTATTGTATAATACAAACAATTATATATTAAATTAAGATTACTAAATAGTTTACTTGAAATTAAAAAATTATAAATTAAAAAATTTTAAATATAATTAAATTGTATAATCATTTTCAAAAAAAATATGAAATAAATTATGTAGGACATACGAAAATAAAAGTGAACATTTTATGAGATTGAATGAATATATTTACTATAGTGCTATTAAAGAAGAATGAATAGGGTGTGTTTGTTTGAAAATTTCTTCCCAATTTCTACTATTCATTAATTTTTTTTTTTCCAAAAAATATCAAATTAAATATCTATTTTTTATTTTTTATATTACACTAAAAATTAATTTTACATTCAAAACATCACATCAATACTTAATTATATTACATCATATTTTACTATTCAAATATCAAAATCCAAACACTCAACTGAACATACCCTATAAGTAAATTAAAAAATAAGTTGAGAAACAGTTAATGCTGCAATTTTTATTTTTATTTTTTAAATTAAACTAGAAAAATCTTTTTTGTCTTGTGCATATATCGAACGAATCTACTTTCCTGAATCTAATTACAGATTTTTCAAGAAGATTTGCTTAATTCATAATAGATTTGGATCTGTTGATTACAGCATATATATATATATATAATTAAATAAATTAAGTAAGAATCTACTACTCTTTCTACACTCATCCCATTAATTAATTCAAAAAACTTTGTATATAAATATATAATATATGTACATAATTGAGAACTTTATCATTATAGTATATGTCTATGGATGAAAGGGAAAAAATAAAGGAAAGGGATAAACAAGCTCAATTTACTTCTTTTTTTTTTTTTTATATATATATATAACTTTTATATAATATTATTACATTTTTTTACAAAATATTATATATTTTTCGTCATTTAATTCTGTAATCACTACCTTGTCTTTCAACATAAGTAGACAATAATAAATTAGTATAAAATTAGACGAGGGAGATAGTATAACTTATTTTTTATATTATAATAATAATAATAATGGTGACAAGCTTTAGTGCTATGGTAGACAACGCTGACAAGTTATTCTTGCAAAAGTGTAACATCCTTTTGCTTTTCAAATTTATCTCTATTATTTATAATTTGCCAATACCCATTTCCCATTTTCTTTTTTTTTTAAAAAAAAAATTTACTCGAAGAACATGTAAGAAAAGTTCAGCACTGAACCCCTTCTCTCTCTCTCTGTCTCTCTCTCTCTCTACTTATATATATATATATATAGAAGCAAAGCAAGAAATGTATTCTTGTGGTCATAAATGGCTTTTGATCAGAATGACACATACATGACTCTGTGACAAAAATCTCAGTCAGAATCATCTGTCACTTAGTATATTATATGCAAATGCCAGAGAGAGAGAGAGAGAGAGAGGGAGAGAGAGATCTGTATGTATATATATATATGTGTGTAAGAAATTGATTTCTTCTAAAAATGGGAAGTTTACTTTTATTTCCATCATCGCCTTGAAAAATCAGAGCTGCGTTCCAAATAAATTCTTACCAAAGACTTACCAAAAATAGGGGTGCAAAAGCAAAAGCAAAACCTACCAAAATCTTCAAAGAAGATATATAGATAGGGATAATAATTTAGGGCACATAACATATATATATATATTTATTTAATTATAATTATATTAAAATAGAGTCTCCATTCAATAAAATTGCCTGGCGACAAAATCCCAACATTTAGTAACCATAATTTTCACTAAAAATAGCATAAACTGACTGCAATAAATCTAATTCGCAAATTACAAAGGTTACCTAATTCAGAAACCAGACGGCTTCTAGAAGATTACTATTAATAGAAAGGGCTGGGCGAGCTGAATAGTGTTAATTCGGCGGCGGTGGCGGGGGGCGGCGCTTCCGCTTCTTCTTCTCGTAGCTGATTCCTCTGGCCTTGGACTGCGAGTCCCGGACCTCCCGGAGGTAAAGGCGGACGGCGCGGGCCCCGAAAGGGTTGGCCTCGGGATCGCCGCCGTTCTCCTCGTAGGCTGCCCGGAGGCGGCCAATGAGGGCGTCGAGGCTGCCCCAGGCCTGGCGGAGCGGGCAGGGGCAGGGGGCGGGGGGGTTCGGGTGCCCGAAGAACGGGCAGACCGGTTTGTGGACCTTCGTCTTGCCGAACTGGTCCAGGTACCGGAGGAACTCCAGCACGTGCGCGCCGCTGCACCGCACGAGGGACAGCGGCGGCCGGTGGTTGCGGAGGTACTGTCCGAACGTGTTCCAGTCGCGCCGCTTCTGGTTCTCGTACCGGCTCAGGGACCCGCCGCCGGTGGAGGATCTGGGTGGAGATTCCGTCGCCGACGACGACGACGCGGCGGCGATTGTCGCCGGAGGAACGGTGGTGATGGTGAAACCTGCGGTTTCGGTGGTGGTTGGGGACAACATTTGTTGGGCTATTGGGTCCATTGATCGATTGATTTTTTTTTGATAATTATTGCCCGATCTAATTATATATATATATATATATATGATTTGTGATCTAGAGAGAGAGAGAGTGGAGGAGTGAGAGAGTGAGGGTTGAAAGCAAAACTAGGGTTCAAGAAATAAATTACTGAGCTATATATATATATATATTTTGAATGAGTATTGGTTGTAGGGTTTTCTTTGAATTACTGTTTCATGGAATCTAAGGATAGCAGAATTCGAGGTTTTATATATATTATTAATATTAATTTATTTATTATTTCTCACTCGAAGGTGAATGATTTTATTTAATCATATATGGATCGGCTTCGGCCCCATTAAATATTAATGTGGGATTCTTATTCGGATATGATGAATTACTATTAGAGCTCATCACATTATTGTCTTTGTGTCACAAATAGTTAGAGCTTAATTGCAACTTCTCTTTAACTTTAAACTATTACTTACAACTCTTTAAATACTACAAGTTTTAGAAATAGTTACAAAAATAAAATATTTGATATGGTATTTTATAAGATAATATATTGATTTTGTAAACAATGGGTTTCTTTAATTTGTATTGTATTTCTAAGTTAGATAAGTCTTCATATATGTTATTAAAAAAATATAATATACATTTTATTCGTTCATAAAAAATAATTTTTAATAAAATATTATTTTTCATATTATCCATATAATTTTCATGTCTACCATAAAAAATAAATTCATCCAAAAATAAAAATTGAAGATAAATATTGTTGTTGATTAAAATTATAAAACTATAGCCTATTTGTCTCAAAATTAATCATACTAAAGTTTTGTAGAATTAATAATAATAATAATAATAAGTTAAAAAGAAAATTAATGGGCTTGTTTCAATTATTTTATAATTCAACATTTTCATTTCTTTAAATATCATATCGAATAACTATAATGGGATACAGTCCTACTTTTTAATTCTTTTTATAATTCAACATTATCATTTCTTTAAATATCATATCAAATAACTATGATCGGATACAACAGAAGTTTTAACAATATATATTAACATTAATATTATTTTAAAATAAAAAATAAAATGGCATCAAAGATATCTTTATTTAATTAAATATCGCATCAAATATTCATTTTTTTTTAATCAAAAGAAACTTAAAATTCTAAACTTGAAAAAAAAAAAAAAAAAAAAACCCTCTTTATTCTAAAAACATCAATACTAACAAATAAATAAAACATAAATTATGACGTAAACTTGACTGCTTGGGGCTGACCTTAGACGGACGCTCCTTCAAAGCGCAATGGAGGTCATCAATCTAAGCCATGGGCTTTTTTGATCACTCATTGACTCCGTTCAGATAGTGTACAGAGCTTGTTTGAAATAAGATATTAATTTAAATTTTTATTTAAATAATATTTTGATATGATATTTTATTACAAATAATAATTTATTTTTATTAAAAATTGTACAGATAAATATTATTAATTTCAATTTAAAATTACAAATAACAAACCCTTGAGTGAGATATATATTTGTTGTATATGACATTTTGTTATATCAATTGAAATTTCTTGAATAAATATCTAGTGTTTTTTTTTTTTTGTTTGTTTGAATTTGGTATTAAAAGTATATGATAGGATGTTTTGTAAGAATAAAAAGTATATCTTTTTTAGAAAACACAGAATTTAAATATTAGAAATATGTAATTATTTTAGATAAAAAATATTATTGAAAATAATAATTTATAGAAAAATCATAAAAGATAATATAGTAAATTTTAAATAAAATAAAATTCAACGAATCCACGGTGTGCATGTTTAATTAATTGCTGCTGCTTCTTTTTTTAGATTTTTATTTGAATATAATGTAATTTAAATGTAATATTTATTAGAGAAAATAATACTCTCTCCGTTCAATTTCTATTATTCTAAAGTATATTTGCACAGTTTTTTAGGTGATTGTATTTTTTTTATGAATTGACAAATTTGCTCTTAATTGTATGGTAGAGATTAAAAGTAATAAATAATGAATAAAGGGTAAAAATATAAAATTTTTATTTAAAAAAAGAAATAGGACAATAGTTATTGGACATCCCAAATAAAAAAATATGACATTAGTTTGTGGACAGAGGAAATACATTTTATAGGGTTTGTTTGGTTTGAGAGAAATGAAGGAATGTAAGGGAAGGGGAAGGGGAAAAATTTACTATTATATCCTTCTTATTATGTATATTTTCTCGGTTCCATTCCAAATAAGCTATTTAGGATTTTGTAATAATATAAAAAATATTATTTTATAAGTAATGAAAATGTGTAAGATGTTTTGACACTTTTGTCCTTTAATTTTATGTATAAAGTAATTGTATGTATAATGGTATATTTGTAATTTAGGTAAAAGATAAAAATATTTTAGTATTAGTGTATAATTACTTTTACTAAATAATGAAAGAGATAATTTGGAGTGAGATGAACAAAAATGATAAAAATAATAAGACATGAATCAGTTGTTGGTCCGGTCAAGTACTGATTTGATCGAATTAGCATATGTTAGAGGGGTGACCAACATATATTTATACTCCCTTCGTCCCATAACTAGATATTCATTTGCTTATTGCACGTAGTTTTAGAAATATTAGTATTATATTGGGATGTAGTATGAATAAAGTAGAAATAAAATAAAAACCTTATTAGTATGTGTGATATAAAGATAATGACATTTGTGCAATATATTGTAAGTTGTAAGAGTATTTGTAAGGTTAGGTAGATAGTACAGTTACTAGAAAATAAAATTGATACTTTATTATGGGACGAACTAAAATGAAAAAATGAATATTTTGTTATGGGACGAGGAGAGTATATATCTCAACATATTTATAACATAACATATATTATATCATAACTTAACATATGTTATCTTATAACAAACGTATACTGAGGTATGTATAAAGATATGATAGTCACCCTTATAATTTATGTTAATCCCGTCAAATTAATATAATACTAGATAGACAAGATCAACACAAGATGTGCTGTCAAAATTAATAATTTGAGTTTAAGACAAAAGAGTATAATATTACAATTTTAATATTTTATGTCCCCTGTTAGGCTTCCATCTTCTTCGTAAAAATCCTTCAATTATCATTTCATGTTTAAAACCAACAAACCTGAAAAGTAGCAAAAATGAAAAACATTGTTAAATATACAAATTTTTAGCTATGGATTTGTAGATTTCTTACTATTTATATATTGCCCTGTTTAAATGAGTTTTTTGGAATTTTGTAGTAAATTTAAAAATGATAATATTTTATTGGTCAGTAAAAGTGTGTAAAAAATTTTGATATTTTTGCACTTTGACTTTATGTATATAATAATTATATATGTAACAGTATGTTTGTAATTTAAATAAAAAAAAAACAAAATATTTTAGTATTAGTATATGATTACTTTTTTAAAATAGGAAAATAATAATTCTATTAAAACATACAATAAAATTACTTTGATTAAGGACGAATATATATATATATAATGATATGTTTTACCTTATACAGTAAAATAAATACGAAAAATAGTAAACTTTTTAGTAAATAAAAAAATAAAAACACTTTTAGATGACAAAAAATGAGAAAAGGTAAATTATCCCTTGTATTTTAGTAAACTATACAAAACATCCTATATTTTATTTATTACGTGAAACTTTTTTGTGTTAATATATAGTTTACACGAAACACTTTTTTTGTCAAAAATTGATGTTTGGTTCTAAATAAAGACCTAAATTATGCAAGTTTTATATAAATAAAAAATATAAAATACTCTTAAATAATTTTTAGAATAAAATAAATAAATAAATAATCATCCATTTTATAGTTTGTGGAGACAAATTGTTATTTGATTTTTATAATAACTATAAAAATGAAGAATTATTCAATTATTTATTTATTTACCTTATTCTAAAAAATTATTTAAGATACTTTGCATTTTTTATTTGTATAAAACTTGCGTAATTTAGATTTTTATTTAGAACCAAGTATCAATTTTGGACAAGAAAAGTGTTTCGTGTAAAGTTTATATTAATATAAGGAGTTTCACGCAATAAATAAAACACATAGTGTTTTGTGCACTTTTACTAAAATATAAGGGAATGTTATATAATTTACCTAAAATGAAAAGTGACCACAAATTTAAGTGACAAGAAGAGTAAATACCTTTTATTGCTAAACAATAAATTTAACTTAAAATATTAATCAATACTCCATCCGTCTCAGCTAAATTATACAATTTAGTTTAGGCATAAAGTTTTAGGTATTGTTTAATTAATGAGTAATTAAAAATATATTGGTAAAAATAATTATGATTTAATAAAAATAATTATAGATAAAATTAAGATGACTAAATAGTTTACTTAAAGTAAAAAAAATTATTAATTATGAATTTTAAAATGTGATTAAAATATATAATTGTATTTTCAAAAATAGAAAGATGAGACGAATTAAGTGGGACGGTGAAAGTATAATTCATGTTACATCAAATAAATATTTTAATTCAAAATCTTATAAGTGTGTTTATTTTGTATTTCAAACATAAAAATATATATACTACTAGTATTATTTTGATATGCACAATTACCAATAAAAACATATTATTACATTAAAATACTTACTCCGTTCAGTTAGAAAGTATATATATTTTTATTTTGGAACGTCCAATTACAAAGTAATTATATCATTAAATATCTTATTTTTTTCCACAAATACCGTTATTTTACTATCATAATATTATTTTAATACAAAAAAGTAAGGACAAAAATATCATTATACTATTTTTAACTACTCACTATAATTAAAATATTATTATTCTATTATTTCTTAAATTTCACGTCAAAAGTAAACGTATACTTTTTAACCGGACGGATGGAGTACTATTTAAATTTTTTAATTAAAAAAACCTTATAGGAACTTGTATAAATATATAAAAATAATAAATATATATAATACTCCCTCCGTCCGCCTCTGAGGGTCACATTTATCTTTTGCGTCATTGTACTTAGCATTAAAAGTATCTTTATATTTGTATAATTTTGTACAAATATAATTCTATTAGTATTATAAGATACTAATGAAAAT